TTTTTTTCCTTATCAAATACCCTTTTTTTTCTTTTTCTTTTTCCCTATGACTTCGGAGGCACCATTTTGAATTTTTGAAGTTCAATGGCGTAAGCAACTTCACCAATTTTACAAAATTCTAAAGAAGGCTCGGGATTTAATTGTTAAAACATTGCAAAATAGAGAGTGAAGATATGATCGATAAATTGCCTAATAACGTTCTTTGGAAAATCCTACTTGAGCTAACAAAAAGTGCAAATACCTTATCTAGAAAGGCCGACCTCGACCTAAAAGAGTTTTAGATCCTACCAAGTAAAATGTTCTAATCAGTGTAACAAAGAAGAAAACTCGAAAGCATCGTAGTAGCTCCCTACAAATTAAGGATAAGTTCAAGTAATTAAAAAAGGACATACAAAATTCGATAAAAGAAAATGTTTTAGTTGACTTTTGAGTGCAATTCCTTCGGATGGAGACATATATGGTCAAGAAAAAAAGAGGGAGGGAAGCTAACAACATGAATAAGAAAAATCAACTGAACATCGGATGTCAACATATGTCAACACCGTATAACTTTACCGACCCTATCTCGGTTGGTAGGATTAAAAATATACCGAAACTTCTAGAGTTATTAGATGATGACATAGCCTCGGGATTTCAAACCGAAAATTTTAGGTAATAGATATTTCAATCGCTCTTATTGTTAATCACATCCGTATAAAATATCGGGATATAATTAGATATAAAATATTTTGTATGTTCTTTCCTATTCCGTAGGGATCCTATTCTATCTTCTTATTCTTTAAGAATTCTTTCCTATCTTACGACTCTCTATGTATGTATGTGTGTGTGTATATATATATATAGTTCCGTAATTAAAAAAAAACTACCGAAATTATTTTTCCAAATATTATTTTCTTCATGGTATTAGAGCCCTAGGGTTTCTCTAGAGACAATTGTTAAAATTGCAGCCTTCATTGCTCGCAGCTTATCTCCTACTTTTTTCTATATTACGTTTTGCCCCCTACAATGGCCAACACACAATCTTCGGAGACCAAAGCTCCGAATTCATCTCTCGACGTCGATTCCATCGAGTGAGGGAGATCAACCAAGTCGGACCAATCTGGGTTTTCGAATGTTCAACCTCGCTACACCTCCTAACCAATCTCAAGGTTCGTGTTCATTAACGCTCTCGAGTAAAACTCCCATCTCCTTTAGATTAAATGTTTTGCATAATGAGTTTCGGAATGCATGGATTTTAGACTCGAGTGCTACGGACCTATGACCCACACATCCAGCTTTTTTCAAAAGCTATACACCTTGTCCCAATAGCTGAAAAATAGCCGTAGTTGATGGTACAATAACCACAAGTAGTCGGTATTGGAGATATCCAAATTGGTCAAAACATTATGCTAAAAAATGTTCTTCATGTTCCTCGATTATCCACCAATCTTATTTCGTTCATAAACTTATCTAAGACTTGAATTGTCATATTATCTTTTTTGTTAGTTCTTGTGAATTTCGGGATCGGGAGTCGGGGAAGAAGATTGGACTTGCTAAAGAGCACAATGGCCTTTACTACTTCGAGTACACCAAGTCGGCAGAGCCCAATTAATTTATCTTTTCCGAGTCTCATGTTTTTCACAAGTCAAATAAAGATACCATTTGGTTGCATCATAGGTGTCAAGGTCATTTGTCATTTTTTACCTTAAAAATAATGTTCCCGCAGTTGTTTAAGGGAGTCGATGTTAAAGCTTTTCGAGTGTGCCATTTGTGAGTTTGCCAACCACACACGTGTACCGTTTCCAATAAGCAATAAAAAATCAAGTTTTCCTTTTTCTTTAATTCATAGTGACATTTGGGGCCCTTCGTCCATCCAAAACATTACTAGATCAAAATGGTTTGTTACTTTTATTGATGATTACACTAGAACTTCTTGGGTTTATCTTCTTAAACAAAAGTCCGATGTTAATCATATTGTTTCCACCTTTATGATAAAAAATCAATTTGGGGTACCGATTAAACGTATTCGATCATATAATGCTCGTAACTACTTTAATCATACTTTGTCTTCTATTTTCATAAAGAGGGTATTATTCACGGGTCATCTTATGTCATCACTCCATAACAAAACGGAGTCACCGAACATAAAAACCGTCATCTTCTTGAATGTACTAAGCTTTTTTTGTTCCAACAAAATGTTCCTAAAACTTTTTGGGGGAGGCGGCTTTAATGTTAGCCTATGTCATAAATAGGATGCCCTTTAAAGTCTTAGATTTTAAAAGTCCATTGGAAATTTTGTCTTGGTTCTTCCCTAATGTTCGGTCTTCCTTCGACATTACCCCTCGTATTTTTGGGTGTACATCCTTTGTTCATGTCCATAATACCACTTAGGGAAAGTTAGATCCTAGAGACCTTAAATGCATTTTTTTGGCGTATTCGATCACTCAAAAAGGATACAAGTGTTATCATCCACCTACTCGAAAGCTCTATGTCTCGATTGATGTCACTTTTGTTGAAAATAAACCATATTTTTCCACACCTTACATTTCGAGGGAGCTTCCTACAATTGTCGATTCTAATATTGATTTATCTCTTGATATTTCTTTGTCAAGAGATGTAACTCCTTATGAACGACCCATTAATGACCATATTTACCAATCCACCATTCTCTTGCCCATAGAAGAAACAGAGGACAGTGGTAGATTGATTGATTGATTAGTTTCGGTTTGATAAGGTGTATAAAAGGAAAAAAGATACCATTCTCGCTTCCGTAGCAAGATCAATCACTTGTACCGAGTTTTGAACCCGAAGTAACAATTTCTAACATTTTTTCTCCCTCATCCGATTCTACACAACCGGAGATTGATCTTGACAAACCTATAGCCTTAAGGAAAGGAACCCGCAACTACACAAAAACACCTTTATACCCACTAGCCAATTTTATGTCTTTCAATAATTTTTCTCAAAATCATCATAGATATCTCGTCCATATTAAATTCAATTGCTATTCCTAACTCTTTGTCCGAAGCTTTATCTAAAGAAGAATGGAGACTTGCCATGATCGTAGAGATAGAAGCACCGGAAAAGAATTGTACTTGGGAATTGATGTCGTCGCCTCGAGGGAAGAAAACAGTTAGTCGTAAATGGGTGTTTGCGGTGAAACTTAAGGCGGATGGGTCTTTAGAACGATACAAGGCCGGACCGATTGCCAAGGGTTATACTCAAACATATGGGGTCAATTATCAAGAGATGTTTACTCCAATAGCAAAGATGAATACGAGTACGAATTTTGTTGTCATTGGCGGTCCACTTTGATTGGGAGTTATAGCAATATGATGTGAAGAATGCATTTTTACATGGTAACTTAGAGGAAGAAATTTACATGAGCATTCCACCTGGTTTCGGTGGCGGTGATGGGAATCAAGTTTGTAAACTCAAGAAGGCATTGTATGGTCTCAAACAATCGCCTCGTGTTTGGTTTGGTCGATTTACTCATGTGATGCTTGCGAGGCCACACTTTATTTATCAAACACACTCGCTTCGTGGGAGTCACAATTCGATTATCTATGTTGATGATATCATTGTAATCGGGAATGATGAAACAGAGAAATGAGTGTGTAAGCGAGTGTTTGAACTAAGAGTTTGAAACTAAAGACTTTGGGAGATTAAAATTTCTTGGCATAGAGGTGGCTCTGGCCTAAGCAAGGAATATTCATCTCACAACAAAAACATGTTACCGATTTACTCATGGAAATCGGGATGACGAGCAAGCAAACCCGTAACAACTCCAATCGAACAAAATCATCAATTAGGAGAAGCTTTAGGTGAGAAGAAGGTGGAGAAGGAAATGTATTAACGTCTCGTAGAAAACTCATCTATCTTGCTCATACTAGATCGAACATAGCTTATTCTGTGAGTGTTATTAGTTTAGTTTATGCATGATCCAAGAGAAGTTCATCTACAAGTCGTTTACGAGTTGTTTGTTATTTGAAAGCTCACCCAAGCAAAGGAATTCCGTTTAAGAAAAAACAAAATATTGATCTAGCGAGTTTACACGGATGCCGACTTTGCGGGTTCTCCGGTTGACGGAAGATCGACTACGGGATACCGTGCTTTTGTTGAAGAAAACTTGATATCTTGGAGGAGTAAAAAACAAGATGTGGTTGCACGATCAAGTGCGGAGGCTGAATTTAGAGCAATGGCGGTAGGTATATGTGAACTATTATGGGTGAAAATCATCTTGGAAGATATGAAGGAGGAATGGTGTGGTCTAATGAAGCTCTACTCGTGATAATAAATCTGCCATTAGTATAGCACACAATCCAAGTGCAACATGACCGAACTAAACATGAAGAGGTGGATAGATATTTTACTAAGGAAAAGCTCGAGCGTGGATTAATTTGTACTCCATATGTTCCTATGGATCTTCGGTTAACTGGATGTTCTAACCAAAGGATTAAACGATCATGCATTTCAAAAAATATATACAAGTTGGGAATGGAAGACCTATATTCACCGAACTTGAGGAGGAGTGTAGGAAATATCGAGATATAATTAGATAGAAAATATTTTGTATATTCTTTCCTATTCCGTAGGAATCCTATTCTATCTTCCTATTCTTTAGGAATTCTTTCCTATCTTAGGACTCTCTATGTATATATATATACACACACTTGTAGTTATGTAATTAAAAAAAAACTACCGAAATTATTTTCCCAAATATTATTTTCTTCAACATCACATTATATTTTTCACCCTATGACTAGATATTTCACTCGATTCTCGAGATAACAATTTATTCCATATCAATTTAAAGCATTTTAAGGAAACTTAATCGATTTGAAAAAGATCGACGGATGTGTAGCATTCCACAAAAAGAAGGCAAATTAACCGATCACAACTTTTAGAATTTCTCTAAAAATCCTAACTTTTAGCTCACCAAAAACTAAAATACCTTAAATGGAAAGGTAAACTTTAGCCTTGAATGAGTTTTAGGTCTTATAATCTTCTACGTTGTTTATTCATTCGGCCTCATTCACCATATTGTTATAGGTCCTTGACAAGAAAAAACCTCTTCTTAAAAAAAGAAAAGAAAGAAATGGATGAATTAAGAAGAAATAAAGAAATCTTTCATGTTGTGAGCCGCTCTATTAGCTTTGCTCTCTACTCTTGCATCGGATAAATGCCTTGTTAATGAATTTCTTCAAAATCTAGACTTCTTTTTAAAATGAATAACTTTTTCCTAACAAAATCAGAAAAGTTTCCCCATTTTAGAAGGAAAAAATATGAAATAAGAAGAGCACCTCACAAATGCATATGCATAGCTACTATGCTCGAGAATGTCCTCTCTCTCTCTCTTGGAAACCTCCTATGCCTTCCACAACTACTACTTCGGTTAATGCATAGAAGCTATATGCGAATTTATCAATCAATCTTTCCCATGAACCATTATTGTCTATATATCATGTCATGAACCTAAGCTTATGAGCTAGAAAGTAGCCACAGGAAAAGCTCAAAGGCACCATGATTGAAGAAATTAGACAGTACGATGCTCACCACAAACAAATGGCTAAACAACTCAAGTGTTAAATCAACTATAAACCATGCAAAGGACATATGTATGATATACGTACATGAAAATTATAAAGGAAGAAAGATACCTCAACATCAATCCAATATATTGTCGAATGATAAACATCGGATACGGATTTGCCATCGATCGAATGAGTGATGTTCCTAACCCATTCTGCATTTGGTTAGGAATGCAAATGTTAGGATTGAAAATTCATAATTATTAGTAAATTATATGAATTCTTGTAATGTGTATATAAGTTTTAGCTAACTCTGTAGCCGATATATCCATAATCCTTTTTTACGGTATGCATCTAAAAGATAGAAGGTAAAATTAGTAACAATAAAATCATTATTGTAGCCTTCTAAATTATCCTAAATAAAATATAAATGGTAGTAAAGTTTCTATCACTTTGGAAAACTCCCAATATAGTTAAAATTGAAGAAGGCACCACAAAGAATCTCCTTCCCCAAAGAAAAAGGTTCAAACATATGTGAAGTTCATGAAACACAAGGGAACAAATTGAAATAAGGTAAATGGTAAATTTATCTAAGCAATCTAATAATGTACATAATTTTACTAATCCAATGCTTGATTAGAAAGCTATATGTTAGGATAAAAGATATTTAGTCGAAAGTGCAGTGATCTTTCAAAACATGCTTAGGAAGATCAAATGCTCCACTGTTTTTCTATATTAGATGCAAATTATAGGTTGTTTCTCTGCGCGGATCACAATAACTCTGGTTTCATATTTTCCATTTCTATATTCTCATTCGAAGTTTCGGAATGGGGTAATCCTTCTCACATGTGATGGTGCTTCATAATGTGATGATAGGCATGGGCGATATTATATAATGCCTCCTCCAAGGAGCAGAAATATTACTTAGACATTTGGAAGAAAGGAGTCGGAGGAACAAAGAGTTAACAGTACAAGTTTTGTTATATTATAGGGCATTACAATTACCTTTGGATGAGGGTTTTTACATAAAGCGACTCACGAACCAAGGGTAAGATTTTATTAACAAACTCTTGAAGCATCCCCTTTGCTTTATATATGTGGCAAAGCTTTAGTTTTTTTTCCATCAAGCCACCATGGTTTTTGCACATTGGAATTTGAATTAATAAAATCTCGCATATACAAGCTATGAGATAAAGAGAGATCATGAGTGCTTTCCCAAAAGTAAACTATTTTTAAATAAAGTGAGAAAAAAATTATCGAACAATGTTACCTAAATCTTTCGGAGGGAAAGCGAAGAAATAACCTCATCTTCTTTAGCGTCTTCAAGGATGAGCGACGCCAAAGCCAATCGGGCATCAATGCAATCTTCTAGAATGGAAAAAACTGAAGAGAGGCATTGATCATCCAAAAAACTTACGTAACCGCCAAGAGTGCAACTTAAAAGAGATACTATGAAAGGCCAAATATCCGATTATAAATTATATATGCCACTACCAAAGATTGCATTGAACGGTGCCATCATTAAAGGTATGGAGACAATTACCATAACTCTTCAATCTCAAATCATATAGCCTTCATTTCCTTAACGATACATTTAGCTTATTTTCTATTTACTAAATTCTTTATTGATTGTACTTATTATTATTATTTTGACGAGAAAATTTTATTAACCAATGTACAAATGAAAAGAAATTGTAGGAAGCGAACGAGACATCCTTCGAATAAGAAACCAAAAAATTACAAAACCATTGCTAACGAGTTATCAAAATTTTTGTTGGACTCTGATTTTTTTAAACTTTGGATAAAGAAATAAAAGCCTCGACAAGGATCACCATGAAAGCCAAGACAATGACTATTCCACAATAAATGTTTCGAAGGAGTTGTTTGTAGAAATTTCAAGAATTTTGATTGTTTCTAGAAATTAACACCGACGTCCCATTGATAAGTTGATGAATGCATACGGACCACTAAAACAGCCCCCTATTCCATGAATCTAGCCGTAACATAAGCCCGAAGCACGGACCCAAAGGATTCGCAATCTTAACTACCGCCATCAAAATCGGTTTCTTTCGACGAAGCATGATGATGCAAGCACCATCATCACCTAAGAAACCGAAAGAATAGAATGATTCATATGGAAAATATGTCTAAAACAAACTCCAATTACCTTGCAAATTAATTAACCATAATGCTAATTAAACTTCTAAATTCATAAGCATTGAATGCATGAATAGATATTTACGTAATTTACGTAATCTCTTCGGTTTCGGTGTTTGGATGAGTAATTCCTTCATTGTTTACTAGGATTCAATTCCAATGTTTTTCATGTTTCACCCGACTTATACAATCTGTAAGTACATCGGAGGCCCTAAGGTTCGAATCATGAGTAAAGCAAACAATATAAAGGTATTGAAGGGAAAAGAGAGACCGATAGTACAAGTTGGCAGTGTGCTTCAAAGTCGATGCCTCGTTATGATGCTTAGGTAATGTTGATGCTCGAGCTTTTCCATCACAAGTAGAATCCTTCATCCTACAATAAAATGGAAAAAGAAAGAAAGGAGCGAGAGAAACACAAAAGGAAAGACAAAGAAACGAAAAAAGAAAGAAGGCAAAAAAGTCATATCGGTATTTGAAGCTTTAATAACTAGCTTTAATGTTATATTGTAAGTTATGAATCTTCTTATCGATGATTAATATGTTCTATAATGATGTCATGAACATTTTTCATCAAATGTATTCTCGGTAAACCAAGCAATGGGGTCATAGACACAATGTCCTACCCAAGTGAGGGGTCAAAGTTTAAAGAGAGCTAACAAATGAAAACGGGGGTAAGGTTTATGGCGGAAGATAGTGTGACCGTAAAGTTACGTGACCAAGTATGAAATCATATATAACGATACGGAATAACCATATATTCGATTATGTACTTTCCGTTACATGAACCTTGCAAACATGTCTAAATTTAAAACGATCAAGATAGAAAGTTAAAAGAGCATTACAAACCGAAGTATAATCGACTACATGAATAACAAAAAGTTAAAAGAGCATCCAAGGGAAAAATGAATCAAGATTAGTTGGTAACTAAACACTACAAAATTATGTCATGTTTCTAAAATCAACGACCATCTTCATCGACACAATTAACACCGATGCACTATTGAGAAGTTGATGCATGGATGCGGACCACTAAAACGACTACCTACTCCACAAATCTAGCTATCCCCGAAGCATAGACACAAAGGAGTCGCAATCTTCAAAATCAAAACTATCGCCATCAAAATCGGTTTCTTACGAGAAGCATGATGATGCGACGAACATCATCACCTAAGAAACCATAAAGAATAGAATGCATAATATGGAAAATATGAATCAAGGAATTCGAGTCACCAATTAACAACCATTAACTTAAACAAGTCAATTATCTTTGCAATAGGTTAAATTCTTTTCGGACATATATGCCTCAACGGATAGCCTAAGGTGAATATGACAAACTTTGAGTTCCTCTAGTATTCTTTAAGGCTATAACATGTCATTAACACTCCCGAGCATAACCATTTCGACCAAAAAACGAATATTTCAACCAAATGTGCCCAAGTATTGGCGCTATGTGATACTTTCAAACAAGAAATTGCAAAATCTAGAATCGAAGGAATTAATAGAAAACATAGAGAATGCTAACATTCGAGTATAGCTGCAAACACTCCAAGAGATATTTCCACTTTTGGACATTATGAGGTCATGCAGAATAGTCAATCCCATAAATTCAATTATTGAAATTTGTTGGCGAATGAGTTTGGTGAAAATGTTTTAGTAAGATTAGCATTACTTAAGAAAAAATTGTTAGAGAAGAAAGAAGATAAACAATGAATCATCTTCGATAGCCAATTCTCCGTATCCCTCCAGTTGAAGTCGGAAAGTTATTGGATTTAAAATAATTATGCAACGAATAGACAACCGATAGGGCATAGAATATAACATCTAGGTCTGTTGGGACAACCAACGGAAAGATAACTACCTTAGCAAATATATATTCGTCAAAGCCCATACTAGTATCTCTAACGACTTAGAATCGAATGAGTCCTTTTAGCTTTTTTATCCTATGATGCCTCCGTATCAAATTTTAAAAAGAAGATCAATCAAGAAACAACATTTTAAAGATTCTTTAGCCCATGGTTTTTCCTTTGCAATCCTTGTAAACGAGTTAGTTTCATAAGAGTGGACCCGTAATAAAGGATTTATAACAAAGACTAAGAACCAAATATGTATATATCTCGGATGTCCCATCCACCCCGTAAAAGAGAGAAGCTCTTTCTTCCTTATAGAGTAGAAAACCCTAATGCATCTATATTCGATATTTATATGCATGTTAACATGCCGATCAAACAAAGTATAGATACTAGGTCGAAGAAAGGCATCCCTTATGGGACACCCGACGAAGTAGGAATCGATAAGAGTCAAATCTATCATCATCATATAGCCATCATATCGGTGACCACAATAAAGAAAACAATGAAAAAATTATTGATGGCAAGAAAGGGAACAAGTGTGAGGGATAATACCGAGTCGGGCATAGTTGATAACGATAAACACCCCCTCAATGATAAGATCGTAAAGGATATGAAGAAAAATACCTTAGTTTCGTAAGAAGTCGATTAGGTTGGTGGCCCTATGGGATTGGCGGTATAATAATAGAAAATGACAAATTAAAGAGCTTTTCCGAAAAGTTTTGTGTATTTCTCTCTTGATAGATTTACAATATATAGATATTAAGAGTACATCAAATCCCTACAACTTGGGACCTAATTACAGCAGAAAATATGTACAATCAAATAAAGATCCTAAAGTAGAAAATCAAGGAATTTTCTACACATTCCTTACTTAGCATATGCTCCTAATTAATGATAATATGATAATAAGGAAGGAATAATAAATGAGAATAATTTTATTGAGCCAAGTGAAGAGAAGAACCCGTAGGAAATAATAATCCGGGAGTAGGGGATCCAATTAAGTATCAAATAATACGCCTAACTACGCAGCAAGATGAAGATGCCGAGGTGATTCCATAAATTTGCTAACTATATGGACAACATATGAGATATCGGGCCTTGTAATAGTTAGGTAGATAAGACTACAAACTAGTCGCCTATAAAGAAATGGATCAAGCGAAGCTCGCCTTCATCTTTTTGGTACTTCACATTCACCTTCATTGGTGTATCAACGAAGTAGCATCCTTCAAACCAGCCAAGTCAATAAAGTCTTGGACATATTTATGTTGATTTAAGAACAACCCATGTGCCCGAGAGTGAACCTCTAGCCCCAAGAAATAAGTGAGATGTCCAAGATCTTTCATATGAAATGTATTATGTAACATGTGTTGGAGCTCGGTGATCATACCTTTGTTATCACCGATGATGATTATATCATCAACATAGACCAAGAGAAGAACCACACCCATGGTTGTCTTATGAAAGAAGAGAGACGAATCATATTGGCTTTGTGTGAAAGAAAAGTTCGGAAGGGTGCTGTAAAACTTCTCAAACTAGGCTCGAGGGGCTTGTTTCAGCCCATATAGGGATCGCTTTAGCTTGCACACTTCATGAGGAGAAGTTACTTGCATACCAACTCGTAAGTTTCAAGTAAATGTCTTCTTTGAGGTCTCCATACAAGAAGGTAGTTTTTACATCCATCTAAAGTAAGGGCCAAGGCTTAGAAGATGCAATAGCAATAATAGTTCTTACCGTGGTCATCTTGGCAACCGGAGTAAAGGTTTCATCATAATTGAGCCCATATTCTTATTTATTTCCAAAGAGCAACCAGTCGAGCTTTATATTTATCTAAAGAGTCATCGGATTTGAGTTTCACATTATAAACCCACTTACTCCCAATGGGTTTGACATTTGGAGGATAAGAGATAATATCCCAAGTGTGGTTTTCCTCAAGTACTTAAAGTTCTACTTCCGTTGCTCGCTGCCAGCACTCATGTTCCATAGCCTGTTTATAACAAGAGGGAATGGAAATAGAAGACAAAGTAGTAAACAAAGACACATGAGATATAAATCCATATTGGTCGGGAGGTTTATGAGTTCTAGATTTTTTTAAAAAATGACATTCGTAGAGACACGAGTATGACGAGCATGAGAATCATAGCAAAGAAAACCTTTTTGGTGTTCAACATATCCTAAAAAAGCACACTTGACGATTGGGTAGTGAGTTTAGTTCTTTCATGTGCGTAAAGATGAACAAAACATACACATCCAAAACGATGAAGATTTAAGTAATTCGGTGCATGCCTAAATAAACGAAGATAAGGTGAAACATTGTCCAAGGTTGGAGAAGGTAACCTATTTATTAAATAAACAACGAGTAGACAAGGCTTCTCACCAAAAGTGAGGAAGAACAAAAGAATCGATTAAAAGAGTTCGAACAACATCAAGAAGGTGACGATTCTTCCTTTCGACTCATACCGTTTTGTTGTGGAGTGAAAGGACAAGAACGTTGTGATAAAATCCCATGACTTTGGAGGAAAGATTGAAATTCATTTGACATATATTCGCCACCGGAATCTAATCGTATGATTTTGACTTTGGTAGAGAATTGTGTATCAAGCAAGGTAAGAAACATTTTAAACACAGAGAAAACCTCACTTTTAGACCTAAGAAAATAAATCCAAGTAAAACGCATGAAATCATTGATGAATATGACAAAATATTTGTAATGCTCATGAGAAATCACTAGTGCAATACCCTAGACATCAATATGAATGAGTTCAAAAGATTTAGTGGTGCGGGTTGTATGCAAAGGAAAAGGAAGAGTTTTGCTTTTACCAAGCTTGCAAGAAGCACAATCAATATTGACATCATCAACAAAAGTCAAATTTTTATTACCAAGTAAACCAGATTTAAGCAATAAACAAAATACATGAGAATTAGGATGGCCTAAACGCTTATGCCACACCCGATCATTATATTGAACAACATTGCAAACAACATAATTTAACAAAGGATAGAAAGGAGATAAAAATATTGGAAACGGATGTCTCACTTTAGGTCCCTATGCGATCGTCTTCCCCGATACTTGATCCTGCACAACACAACCAAAATTTGAGAATTGAACATTACAATTATTGTCAACTAATTGACAAACCGATATAAGATTATTGGACGATTAGGAGACACAAAAATAGCATTTAACGAGGCTGAAATATCACCAACAATCGTGATGGGTAAGGAATTACCATCGACTGTGTGAATATGAAGATTTCCTTTATATTTTTGGACATTGGTAAGAGGTAACATAGTATTGGTCATGTGGTTTGAAGCACCGAATCGAAATACCAAGGTTTATAAGCGGAATAGTTATTACCCGAAATCCCTAAAGCAGAAAAGACGAAACTATCATTTGCTGAACCATTTCAAGAGTAATAGAGGAATGACTCGGACTAGGAAATAAGTAGGGTTAGAGGACGTGGCGAGTAGAACCGAAGCACTTAAGGAATCAACGGAGACATTATAGGCTCTAACGATTTCTTTGGAGGCCGAATGGAGCAATCTTTGATGATATGTCCTACTTGCTTACAATAATTGCTGAATTTTTTAGTACAATTGGTGGCAATATGCCCAAATTCTCTCGCAACTATAGCATTGGACATCGGTCATGTCTCTACTTCCTTTAAATCTCCCTTGAGCAAGTATAGGCAACAGGAATTGAAGTAGAATTTTGAGCTTTCGCTCTATGGCAGCTTGAGTAATAAGCCTCTATTCTTCCCTTAAAAGTTCACCAAGACAAATCTCCAAAATAAGGAACTGGATCTCTCGTTCATTAAATTGGATTTGATTCCTTCAAAATCTCCCATCAATTTCATCAAAAACTAATGTCGCTCATTGGTTTCATGCACACTTTGGATAGCAAAGAGTCCTTCAAAAGATACACTTGCATACACAATATCGGTGTATTGAGCTCGGAGATTTTGAAAGGAAGAGTAGAAATCTTGGATCGACATGTTGCCTTGAACAAGAGTGCCGAGCTCAAGTACCAATTGAAACCTTTATGCTCGTGTTACTCCGGTTATAAACTTTCTTCAAGTAACCCCACATTTCTTTGGAAGTTTTATAAGGCTTGAGGTTGAGAAGAATGGATGGCTCGACACTTCCAAGAATCCAAGACATAATCCGAGCATCATTCACCTCCCATTTCACATACTTTTCCTTCTCCTTCTTTCTATCAAGTGTAATATTTGTCCCATCAATATGACCCCATAATTCCTTTCCCTTGACAAAGATCTAGAACCGAAATTCCCGTGTCGAATAATTCTTGCCATTAAATCGAACATAAAAATGCTCAAATCGTTCAAAAGACATGATTCAACTAAAAAAAAGAGGGCTAAGATATCAAATCAAATAACTAAAATTTGAACAACGAAGACAAGAATAACCAAGAACAAGAATACTAGGATCACGAAACTAGGCAACAAAATGAAACAATGTCGAAACCCGGCTCGATACCAAGACAAATTAAAGAGCTTTTCCGAAAAGTTTTGTGTATTTCTCTCTTGACGATTTACAATATATAGATGTTAAGAGTACATCAAATCCCTACAACTTAAGACCTAATTATAGCGAGAAAATATATACAATCAAATAAAGATCCTAAAGCAAAAAATCAAGGAATTTTCTACATATTCCTTACTTAGCATATTCTCCTAATTAATGATAATATGATAATAAGGAAGGAATAATAAATGAGAATAATTTTATTGACAAAAAACCCTAATGCATCTCTATTCGATATTTATATGCACGTCAACGTACTAACAAAATAAAGTATAGATACTAGATCGAAGAAAGGCATCCCTTATGGGACATCCGACGTACTGGGAATCCGATAGGGGCAAATCTATCATCATCATATAGCCATTATATCGGTGACCACAACAAAAAAAGCAATGAAAAAATTATTGATGGGAAGAAAGGAAAGAGTGTGAGTGATAATACCGAGTCGAGCACGATTGATAACGATAAGCATCCCTTCAAGGATAAGATCGTAAAGGATATGAAGAAAAATACCTCGGCTTCTAAAAGAAGTCAAATCATATTGGTGGCCCCATGGGATTGGCAAACCGACACATTTGAGTGCTCTCGTGCTACATGAAATTTTAATATTAAATTCTAAACTCACATTGTGCTTAGATTGAAGGCCGGATCAAGCACCAAGAGCATACCATAGAAGCGAGTTCCTCGGCGCGATAAAAGGAAAGAAAAGGAAAGGGAAAAAATTAAGCAATGTTAGAAAGTTTTTACAATTGGCGAGTTGTAAGTGATTTATCTTGTAAAAAGCTTTTGACAAATAATACTTGGCTATGCATGCATTAACATCTATGTGTGTGCACGCCCCATTTAAATAAACCAAAAGAAACATAAAATGTGTTAGATATTAACGATAACATCAAAAGAATGTTCGATTCAGCTTAGGAATTACATGTTATATATGTGTATAATTCTGCAATTGTTTTCGAAAAGCTAAACTCTAAAGGGAAAAAAAAACAATGTAATTATGCAGATATGTCAACGGTGCAAACTTGACCAAAAACAGTTCCAACCTTTCCATCTTATTCCACTAAATTAACATATTATCCATTTGCATCAACA